TCCACGCGGGAGCGCGATTTCTGCATGATTTGTGAGGAAGTCCCACGCGAGAGCGTGATTTCCAAGTACATTGTGAGGAAGTATCAGGCGGTAGCCGCTGTTATTGTAGTCTGGGGGTCAGGGGCGCAACTCGATGACCCCACAGTTTTCGTTGTGAAAACATGGTGCGGGCCCCAGGGTGATTATTTTGATGGATAAATCACAGTGGTTAGGGCTGGGGGGTCAACCATGTTTATTCTTTCGAGGTGAGAATCCAATCAGTCTACGATTGTTTGTTTTTACCTGTTCGCGTGCCCGTCAATACGTATAGCCCGAACCCTCGGTACCCGCTCTCGTCGTCTTCGGTTGTGCCCCAATTGGGGATATACCTTCATTACCTGCCATGTGTAATTGGCGCAGCCTTTTTAAATCAAGGGAAGAAAGGAGGGATAGAAGGGGGAGGGAGAAGGGTTGAACACGAGAGACATTAGCAGGAAAGGGTGTTCGGAACAGAAAATATGGCAGAACCAGACGGGTTGATCGGGCGGGTACACCCTAACGGGCGAACCGAAAAGGCGGGCCCAAGCGGCCAGGTCGAGCAGCCGGGCTGTTGAAGCGTGAACACTGCGTGAATCGCGAGGAGGTATCGAGCGGTAACGCGTTTCCCAAATGAATCGCGAGAGAAGCCACAGCGAGAGCACGACTCCTGAGCGTCAAGGGCGCGGCGGCTGAACATATTGCCAGGAAATCGCACGCGAGGGCGCGATGCCTGCATAAACTGTGAGGGGCTCTCGCGCGAGTGCGCGAGTTCGGAATACATTAAGAGGGGGTCTCAGGCGGGAGCCGTTGTTGCGGCAACTCCAGGACCACAGGGCCAGACTGGTGACCCCAGAATTCCCCTTGTATAATGCATGGTTCGATCCCCGGGAGGAGCACATGAATTGAAAAGCATTCTGGTCTCTGGCAGCGGGAGGATCAACAATTCTTATTCTTCAGAAATAAGAGTTCGACGGCTCTCGTCTGATGCTTCCTCAACGTGAATTGAGCAATCGCGCTCCCGCCCCGGACCCTCTTGCAACTTACCAACAGATCGCGCTCGCGCCTGGGACGTCCTGGCGTTTTTGATGCGCGAATCGTGTTCTCGGCGCCCCCCGACAGGCCTTCAAGAGGCCCCCAGGATGCCCCAAGATAGCCCCAGATGGCCCCAACAGCCCCCATGGTAGCCTCAAAAGATCACGACGACGCCCCTTGTTCGACGTCCTTTACCTCGGGCTCCTTACCGTCCTCCGTCGTCGTCGTCCTCCTCCTCCTCCTCCTCCCCCTCCTCCTCCTCCTCCTCCTCCTCCTCCTCCTCCTCCTCCTCCTCCTCCCCGTCTGCCGTTTCTTTCCTCCTCGGAATCGTCCTCCTCCTTTATTTTTTTTTCCTCGTCCTCGTGCTTGTCTTCGTACTTGCCGTCCTCCTGCTCCCATCGTTGCCCTCTCCGTCATCCGCGCTGTCGTCCTCGTCATCCGCCGCCTTGTCGTCGCCGTTGCAACATATCTCTGTGTCGCAGATGCGGCACGCTCAGCGAAACCAGTTTCAGAATCTTTCGGATGAATTGCCGAACAATGGTAGGGCTCCGCAGTTTCCAAGAGCCCTTGCAAGTCATCACCCCAAGTGGCTCATGGATTCAGCTGTTATTTCAAAGCGCACCCTACTTCGCGCATGCAGTAAGGGAGCTGCAGGGGGAGAGCCTGCCAGCATGGTGTTGCTGGTTCCAGAGACAGCCGAACTCATCATCATCAATATGAGCGCTGGTCTTCGCTTGCTGCCTTCTCCATTATTTCTGTGATTCTGGTTTCAGGGGCTGCGCCAATTATACGTGGCAAATGGGGCACGATCAAAGACGAAGAGGGCGGGTATCAAGCGTTTGGGATATGCATGCTGAATGATACGCGAGCGTAGACCGAACGGTATTTGAATGATTGTGGTGTTCCTCCTCCGAATATGGTCGCTGGTGTAGGTGGCGCCTTGATGCCAGTCTTCGAGAGCTTGGGCGTAACTCTCCTGATGAGGCTCCTTTGCTCTAGAAGGGAGGCTGCACAAAGGGGGGCCAGTGCCGCGAATGCGCGCGCACGTAGACTTGTTCATCAAGCTGAGCCGGCAGCATGATGTGTACGCCAAGGCATGGGGCGGCCCATGGGCCCGCGATCCAGACGCGGCGTTTTACCATGATTGCATTGCGCTGATATATGGACCTGCTCGTGGGATGCGATGCGATGCGGCCATAATCACGATGCGGGCATTACCAACATCGCCCTCACACCTTACCATCCTCGGGTTGCCTCCTCTTCCTCCCCCTCCTCTTTTTTCTTCTCCCCCTATTCGGCATTCGGAGCTCTAGATCACGAGCGACGATACGGAGGGCCAGAATTCACTTCAGCGACTTGCCATACCAGAGCCCAGTGTCTGCGTGACCTTCGCCAAAGAGAGCTTCTGCCAAAAGAGGGATGCGAATGAAACGTAATTACCCATACCAGGCACGCACAGAAGCAGAGTTCACACATGCTGGCAGAAGCAATGCTGGAGCCTTCCCCTGGATTGGAATCCTTGCTTCTGGACTCAACAGGGCCTCAGGGTGCAGATTCGACTGGTCTGGCTGATGTCCCAGGGCGGGCTTTAAACACAGCAAGGCATGAAGGTGCAAACCCGACTTGTTTGGTTGTCGGACCAGGGCATGGGGGGGGCACTGGAATCTGAGAAAGACATACATAAGAAGTGCGCGAATATGGCCACTTCTCAAATTTAGAAGTGGACATGTGTTGGTTGGGCAACGCATTCTGTCGCAAGGCGTCGTGCCAGGCTCGACGAGGTAAACAGCATCATGGTATCATTGGATATCATGATAGAACAATTGGAAGAGGAATTTTCTTTCACGGCGGCCGTAAACAGTTTCAAAAGTATGATGGAGTTCAATAAACAAGCATACGAATGCGTTAATGAGGCCAGCGTTGACGAGGAAGCATACCACTTCACTTGAACAGGTGTTCTAGGACCTGTTCGACGCCTGTGGTGAGCTCAGAAGAGCCGGATCGACTGAAGCTGATATTGAGGTGCACGATTTATCGATAGTTTCTAAAGAGACCGACGAAATTTGATTGATCGGTCGAATCTGTCATTTTGACGTGTGGCCACCACCAATCGGCACGCTTCTGGCGCGTCGCACAGTAATCTGGGAGGGAGAGTGAAGTGAGAGCTCGCGCGAGTGAGCGCTTCGCTTGGGGCTGCCTCGCCCCCCCCACCCCGTCCTTGACGCCCCCCGCTTCCAGCGGTGGGAGGGGGGGGCCGCGGTTCCCCCGCCCCATCCTGCCTCTCCTCCCCCACGCCTTCCCCGCCTTCCCCGCTTCGTTCGCCTTCCCCGCCTTCTCCTTGGCCTCGTTCACCTTCCCCGCCTCGTTCACCTCCCCCCCTCGTTCACCTTCCCCGCCTCGTTCGCCTTCTCCCTCTTCCCGCCTTCCCCGCCCTCCCCCCTCCCGTCGTCCGGGATACGAGCTTCGTTGCACCAGGCGGGCCAGAGCGCAAGTTGCTCTCGGAAGGTGCAGTATGGCGTATGGCCCCCAGGAGTGGGGCGCCCGCACAGCCTGGGCGCCCTCCTCCCGCCTTTGCCCCCCCCAGCCCCCGGCGAGTCTCTTGGCGTCCCTGCGTCCGTACTTTCCCCGCATGGGCCTGGCCGAGTCAGTAGCAGGAGACTCACGGCACCCAAGCGCCCCTTCCTTTACCTCACCTCACAGTACCTTCCCTGACCTTACCTCAATTTCTCGTGATGGGGGCGAGGCCGTGGAGTTCTGGCAGGGTCTTCCGCCGAGTCCGTTTCCGCGGCCCTCCTTTGTGCGTCGAGGGCCACCATTTCTAATCCTTCCCCGCCCCCAGTGGGGCCCTCACCTATCCCGCCGTTTGGCGGGGGGTGTAGGGGCCAGGGGGCGCCCACACTTCTCAGAATAGTGAACACTGAGGTAAGATGTGGGTCTCTCCTTGTTCCCCCCCTCTCCCGCACAACCGTGCTTGCCAACGTTCCAAAAACGTTATTTAAAGTATCCTCCCGCTGCCCCTCCTCTTCCTCCCGCCTCCTCTTCCCCCCTTCATCCTTCAGTCTGGCTCGCTCATCGCGAACGCAATCGCAGAGACATTATAGAGCTCATGGGCTTGCATGGCTCGTGTTGTAGAGGTGCCCAAGCCCTTCATCACTTCAGTCGGGCTCCGCCTGACGCCCTTGGAGTCGCCATCTCCGCTCGCCATCGGCTACGCACGGGTACATCCCCCTTTTGCTGTGTGTTCCCGATCTCGACAATTTTTTGCGCCAGAGCATGCTGTGGTATTCATGCTCGTCGTGCCGATTGGCCATTGCAGACTCTGCTCTCCGTGGAGTGCTATCCTCCTCTTCCTCCTCCTCCTCCTCCTCCTCCCCCCGCCCCCTCGTTTACCTCCTCATCCTCCCCTCAATTCCTCATCCGCACCATTATCCCTCCTTCTGGCTGTCGCTCAGCTCCTCGATTTCCAGCGCCCCATGCGCTGCCATGGGCCAGTCAATGATGGATCATCGTCTTGTCTATGCTGCAGCCTCGTGGGATGCCTTTCACTCGTCCCGCTCTGAGGAGGAGGAGGAGGAGGAGCAGGCGGTGGAGGTGGAGAAGGAGGAGGAGGAGGAAGAGGAGGCGCAGGAGGAGGAGGAGGAGGAACCCCCAGTCGGCCCTCTATCCTCCTCCCTTTCCCTCGCCCACTGCCGCGCCCCTTCCTCCAGCCTTCCCCCCTTCGCTGCCCCCGGCGGCCCTCCTTCCTGCCCTCCTCTCCTCGCCCCTCGTCGCTCCTATCCTCTCCTTCCCCCCTTCACTGCCCTCCTTCCTCCCCTCCTCTCCTTGCCTCCTCGCCCCTCTTCGCTCCTCTCCTCGCCCCTCGTCCCTCCTCTCCTTGCCCCTCGTCGCTCCTCTCCTCGCCCCCCGTCCCTCCTCTCCTCGCCCCTCGTTGCTCCCCCCCTCCCCGGGAGGTTCCCGGCCGACATCCCGCCGAAGCTCCGGCGCGGTGGTCGAGGCGAGGGGCGTAGCTCTCTTGCGCCGCACTGCCGTGCTCTGCAATCTTTTCACACCGCGCGTTTTCGGGCCCCGGAACCATCACGGATCGATCCGGCTCGAAACACGTTGAAGAAAGATGGGATTTAGGGCTCCAGTCGTGTTTTCGCTGCGGTGTTGTAACTTGCTCGCAACGTCGGAACTCAGGGTTGCCGTCAGCAGCAGCATCATCAGCAGCAGCAGCAGCATCATCACCAGCATTGTAGATATGATGAGAAGGTTGATGGGATGATCGCGGCTGCGCTCACCCGCTTTTTCCTTGCAGGCGTTCCAGAACAGGCATGATGCGGGAACTTTCCGAGCGTCTTTGCCATTTTTCTTACAGCTATTTTGGTTGCGCACGCCATGAAATTCAACTCTAGCCGTCTTGTGCCTCGGGGCGCATGCAGTCTCACTGTTTCTTCAGAACTTGCTGTCTTCGGAGATTCGTGACCACCACCACCACCATCCCATATCATCACCCTCACCACCATCATCATCATCATCATCATCATCATCATCATCATCATCATCATCAGCATCATCATCATCAGCATCATCATCATCATCATCATCATCGTAATCAGCATCAGCATCAGCATCAGCATCATCATTCTCATTATCACCAGCAGCAGTAGCATCAGCATCAGCATCATCATCATCCTCATCATCATCATCACCATCATCATCATCATCATCATTATCATCATCATCATCATCATCATCATCATTATCATCATCATCATCATCATCATCATCATCATCATCATCATCATCATCATCATCATCATCATAAGCAGCATAAGCAGCAGCAGCAGCAGCAGCAGCATCACCCTCATCCTCATCACAACCAGACCGGCACCTCCCTGGGGGCCCGAGCGATTCCCGCTGCTCAGTCATGGACTGGCAGGCAGGCGTTCGCGGTTGGTTGCGGCAGCGCGCCAGCACGAGGAGCTGCAAGATTGGAGGGAGCGGATCGTGTCGTACGTACTTGAGGCCCGCTGGGCTACGTTCCGCGGCTCCGTTTGGGCTGTTTCGTACTACTTCCCAGGTGCTCTTCCTTGCATGGGCGGCGGCCAGGCTCGCCTCTCTCGTCGGCAGGAGGTACTTCAGACGAGTTCCTTTGGGCGATACGGCTGCTACGTCAAAGCTCGATCATTGGATTGGCCACTACATGGAATACTTTACGGCTTTGTCTACAGGTAGGTCGCTTTATTTGGCTTCTCTGGGTTGAATGTTGGATATGTCAGCCTTCGCCTCTGTCGAACGGGACAGTCTGTTGAATAAACGGGGTGCGTCAAGTTTCGCGTATCTTGGGCGGGTCAGGCGCAACTTCGCCTTGACAGCTAGACGACGTGGCCCAGTTTTTTTCGTGTGTGGAACGTGACAGCTCCGTCCCGCGCTCCTCTAGGCTGGCGTTACTTTACGCAGCACTTCTCTGGCATGTAACAGACGTGCCACTCCACTTCAGTGATCCATTGCTGGCGCGATTTCGCTGCATATGTGGATGATCTTGTCAGGAGGCTCATGGTGGGCAGGGTTGGTGGCGTCGATACTTGCCATCCATCCTTCCCCGTGCCCAAAAGAAAAGGCTGGGCAGCAGCAGCAGCATTGTCTCTTTGCTGCTCTGTCCCACGCAGCGTTCCCTTCAAGCTCCCTCCTCTTGCAGATCCTCTGATCTTGCCAGGCGCGTGTGCCTCACGGGTTTCCCAGTTTATTCGAAAGAATGTTGTCGCAGAGTGATTCATAGCTGTTTCCTTGCAGACCATCGGCTGCGCTGAGTCATTGTTTGCAGTCCACGATCGGTGTCGTGTCCTTCTCGGTCTCCCTGCTTATCTTCATGTAGTATCCTCCTCATTCTTCTGATCATGATCCCCAGTCAACCCTGTAATAAATGATACCGGAGAAAAGCCCCAATCAAAGTATTTTCAGGGCTATAGGGCTATGAGGCTATTGGGCTATAGGGCGCGATGGGGCTATGGGGCTATAGGGCTATGGAACTACAGGGCTATAGGGCCAGAGGGCTATAGGTCTGTAGGGCTATTGGGCTATAGGGCTCTAGGGCTCTGGGGCTATGGCGCTAAATGGCTATGGGGCCATAGCGCTATGAGTCTATAAGGCTATGGGGCTATAGATCTATAGGACAATAGGGCTATAGGGATATAGGGCTATGGGGCTATAGGGCTATAGGTATGTAGGGCTACCTATACGACCACGCTTCGGGTGATAAGGAGGTTGTGGGGGGGGAGAGGGGGGAACCAACATCTGACTCAATCGATCTCACTATCGATCTCACTCAACGGGACACCACAGGACTCTTGTCAATCTCGCTCACTATCGATCTCACTCAACGGGACGCCGCGGGACACCACGGGACACCGCGGGACACCTCTCGATCTCACTACCGGTCTCACTATCGATCTCATTATCGATCTCACTCAACGGGACACCAAAGGACACCATGGGACACCACGGGACACCTTGGGGCACCGCATCGATCTCATTATCGATCTCATTATCGATCTCACTCAACGGGACACCACTGGACGCCACGGCAAACCTGTCGTTCTCACTATTGATTTCACTTTTTAGGACACCACGGGACACCACGGGGCACCACATCGATCTCACTATCGATCTCATTATCGATCTCACTCAGCGGGACACCACGGGACACCATGGGACACCTGTCGATCTCACTATCGATCTCACTTGTTGGGCCACCACGGGACACCTCAGGGCACCACATCGATCTCAGTATCGATCTCACTATCGATCTCACGATCGATCTCACTATCGATCTCACTATCGATCTCATTCAACGGGACACCACGGGACACCACGGGATACCGCGGGACACCGCGAGCCACCGCCAGACGGGCGGGAGGGGGAGAATCATTTGTCTTGACTTCGCCCTAGCAACGGCGGACACCACGGGACACCACGGGACACTACCGGACACCGTGGGACATCGCGAGCCACCGCCAGACGGACGGACGGGCGGGCGGGGGAGAATCATTTGTTTTGACTTCACCCTAGCAACGGCGGGTTCATTCCTCTCGCGCGCCCACGCAGCTTCGCCTCGCCCGCACGCGCGACACCAACGAAACGATACGATTTCCCGGTTGGGGGTCTCCGTTCCACTGCGATCTCACTCCACAACTTCCGATAGGCATATAGAGCTATAGGGCTATCGGGCTACAGGGCTAGAACGTTAGAAGGCTATAGGGCTATAGGGGTATGGGGCTGTAGGGCTATTGGGCTATTGGGCTATTGGGCTATAGGGCTGTGGGGCTATAGGGCTATAGGGCTATAGAGCTACAGTGCTCTAGGGCGATAGGGCTATCAGGCTATAAGACTGTAAGGCGATAGGGCTATAGGGCTATAGGGCTATAGGGATATAGGGCTATAGGGCTATACGGCTATACGGCTATGGGGCTAGGGCGGTAGGGGTGTACGGCTATAGGGCTATGGGGCACCCGGGCACCCAGGCACCCAGGCGGGCCGCCGAAATCGGCGACGCAGCTCCCGGGCATCCGGGCACCCGGGCGTGCCGCCGAAATCGGCGACGCAGCTAACCTAGCCATATGAATCCGCTATGACCCCTCGAAGGCAAGCTCTGATAGGGAAATAATCCCCATAATCTTTATGTATCCCAATATTCCCCATGATCCCAATGATCCCTATAATCCCCATGTCTGTTGCTCAATAGTCCCTTGATGTTCCGTCTCCGTGTGACTGGAGCAGCGCGTCGGTGCGGCGCTGACAAATGTCCACCCGGCATGGTCTCCGCATCCTGGTAACAAGCTGGCAGGTTCAAGCAGAACCCGACGCGCGTTGATCGATCTTCGTGGTGGGCACCAACACGGCGCCATCTTTGTGTTATTATCGCATTCCGACAGTGCATAATTTTGTAAGTGTGCCGCCTTGGCAGACTCAAAGTGAGGTCTCGTGGAGGGCGTTTAGCATCCTTGTCAGATCTAACAGGACCGACCTTCCGCCGCGTCAGCGTGGCAAGAAGCGGGCGCCCTCGTCGTTGGCGAGTCCGATCTCATCCAGCAGGGCAACCGCCGCGATTGGCACGACCTGGCCGCGTGGAGTACCATTTGGTGCACTCACCCTCATTCGCACTTGACGGGGAGCGATACCACGGTGCGCTGCCCAGTCTGCGCGCATGGGCGGCGCTCGGAGGCGGTGGTAGGGACTCGACTACTCGTAAGAGTGACCCTTCGCAGGAGTGGCTTTTGGTGCGGGCACACTGGGGCACCCAGATGGCAGAATACAATGCAATAGCAGCGGCTTGCGCGCTCGTGTTTGGCTCCTTCCCCGCGCCCCCCTAAAGTCGCGCACCAAAGGTCACTCCTGCCCAGGGTCACTCTTGCATGTAGCCGAGGGACGAATAGCCATGAGTGGAGCAATACACGTATCACGGGGCGCCGACGGTTCTTGTTTTCGGCGAGACTCCTCGGCGAATGCGTGTAATGCTCGCCACTGGGCAATTCGCCTCTATCGCCACCCCCGAGGGCCGACGGCGACGGCGACTCCGACGCCGACGCCAGGCGTCGTCGAAGTCGTTGTCGTCGTCGTCACAATCTTCATCATCATCACATCGTCGGTGTCATCACCATCATCGTCTTAATTGTCAGCGTCGTGTTCACCCTCCCAGTCCCCTACATGGCCTCAGTCATATGTTCTGCTTCAGTTTTTCTATCCTCCAGACAGCGCGTGATTCACCCTCCTGGGCGTGTCGTATAATGACCACGTAGACGCTTCGGTCTTCGGTACGCACTTGTGCATCCTCACCTCCTTCCTCGCCCCTCATCATGGTCAGTACTTCGCCATCCTCATCCTTCCCCTCCTGCCTGTCCTCCTCTTGTCCACTCCCTCTCGACTTCCCTCTCACTCCCAGCAGGCCTGCTCCCTCCGTCCCAGGGCCCACCTTCGCCCGGATCAAGCCCGTGTACGTGCTGAAGGTCAAGGGCAGAGGCCCGCGTGCATTGGCGGGTGAACCTATCCGCCTCCAGGGCAAGGGGGGCACGGGCGGCCTGGGTCTGGAGGGCAGGAGGAGGAGGCGGAGGAGGAGAAGCAGCCAGCAGCAGCAGGAGGTAGGAGAAAGAAACACATGGGGGAGCATGAGAAAGAGGCAGGCATGGGAGGAGGAAGAGGATTAGGAGAGCTTCAGGCTTCCTTGGGCAGATTCCCGGAAGGGCTCACGGTACCCTGGGCTATAGGTTAGGACAAACACATGGACCCCAAGTGCGACGGATTGCGAGCATGATGTTCCCAGCTGAAAGCGGCGGTGGTGTCATCCGATGTGGTTACGTGCTCGGCTGGTTCAGACCACGATGTGGATGTTTGCCATTCTCTCGCACGGCTTGTCGTCGTGCGTGGACCAAGTCGATGTCGTGGAGCACACGAAGTGTGGGGAGTAACACTCTGCCGAAGGGTTTGAGCTGGGTTAGATGGCGGTACTTGGCCTCCTCCCCCTGGCGAGGGAGGGGCCGGAGCGTCTTGCCAGGGCTCTCCTCCCCTTATCTCCTTCGCTTCGCGCTGGGAGGTTGACTGTGACGGAGATGGTGCGTGTCCGTAGCCTTGTGGGATCAAGACGAGAATCGGCCACACCCCGCCACAGTGGAAACCCATGCCAAGAAACACCCTGCTTGCCTCCAGGGTGCCCTGGATGTCTTGGTGTTCGATGGTTTTGCTATGTAAAGCGTGACGTTCCCACACCAAAAATCAATGGACATCCTGGTGTCTCAGGGTTGGGCTTCTTGTGGAAGGTTTCTTGTGGTCGAGTTTCTACTGTACCTCGTGTGCAGCGCGGTGCGGGTGCGCCCTGGGCTCCCCGACGTCGACCCCAGCGCCGCCGCCGCCGACAGCACCTGAGCCGCCGCTGCCGGCGGTCGTCGCGGAGGGCGCCGCGACGCGGGCGCGCAAGGCCAGGGTGTCCAACCTGCTGGGCCCGCTCGACGAGGGCGAGATCGAGCCGCAGGGCAACGAGGTGGTCGACCGGCAGTCCGAGGTCCTAGAGCGGCGATGCGTGCGAGTGCACGGACGACCAGATCGCCGCCATGCGCACGCGCCTCCCCGGTCGTCGACGTGGGCCAACACGCCGACTTCCGGATCCTCGCGCCGCAAAGTAGTGGGCGGTTGCAGCGCCAGCTGGAGACGCTGACTTGGATCATGGTCTCCGACGGCAAAGGGGCGCAGGCGGAGGTCCTGGACCCAGACAGCTTCCCTGCGTGGGAAGGCCGCTGGAAGGTCCACGAGCCCCTCCTCAAAGGCTTCGAGACTGAGGGCCCCCCGGGCGTGCCAGTCGGGCGCGCGTTCTCGGCGGCGAGCCCGGAGGGGGAGAAAGAAGGGGCGGGCTTTCCCAGAGGGCTCGGAAGCCCCGTGGCCTTCTGAGAAATGTTCTAAGCCTTCCCGAAGGCACAGGAAGCCTTTCACAAGGCGCGAGGGCTCTTGAGGAGCCCCGTCGCCTTCTGAAAAGGGCTTCTCCGTCATTCATTCATTTCCCCCTTCATTCGCCGCCGATGTTCGAGCGCGCGGAGCTCGAGGCGTACCGCAACAACGCGGAGGCCCTGGCCACGGAATTCGACGGCCAGGCCGCGGCAAGACCTACATGTGTCTGATGCGCTGATAAGTCCGCAAGAATCCATGTGGGTCTTGAGGAATCTTCAGGCCGGAAGCGATTTGGATTTTTAGAAATCCAGAGGAATCTTGCGGAGTCCAGGGGGTCCTCCTCCTCCTCCTCCTCCTCCTCTTCCTCCTCCTCCTCCTCCTCCTCTTCCTCCCTTGACTCGCGGGGCCTTTTGGGCTGCGCGTTTCGTGCCGCCGCGGCGGGCGATCAGTTCTTAAGCCGCGATGTCCGGAACCCAGCCCTCAAGATCATCGCGCAAGACCGAGCGAGCGGCGGACCGCCAGTCCAGCGTCGCGCTCGCATCGTGGCGGCCGCGGCGGCGGCAGAGGCGGGGCTGGCCTTCCTCGTGCCCCGCTGTCGGCAGAGGGCGGTCGCCCTCGCCAGCGGGGCGGGCGGCGCGCGCCACCCGCGAGGGCGCGAACATTCTCTGGAAGCTCCTGCGCGGCAAGTGCCGTGACAAGTGCGCGCGCGGCACAGCGCGCGCGCCGCGCTCGCGCGCGCGCCCCGCCGCGGAGCGCAGCCAGAAGGGCCACCAGACAGGTGGGAAGCGCGAGCGATGCCCAGCGGCTGCGCTGGCGTCGTTGCGAGCAGCACCTCTGCCCCCGCATGGGGGCGCAATTTTGGCCCGGGCAGGGCGCGCGGTTTTGATTCCGAGCGGGGCCGCTGATCCAGGCCCGCCAGCCTCTGCCCCTGCGCCGCCGCGGCCCCCCGCTGCTTTGCGCGAGGCAGGCGGCCTGGCCGAGGAGTGTCGGGCGCTGGCCCTGCGCCCGCCTGCCGCCGGCAACGTTGCCGGCCGGGGATCTTCGCGCGCGGGCGCCCGGCCGTCTCGCGCGGCCAGGCGCGGCCGCCCGGCTGATCGCGAAGGAGGGCGGCCACTTGGTTCGCTCGCGCGGCGCCCTTCTCTCGCTGGCCCTGCGCCGCGTCGGCGGGGCGCCCGGCTCGGGGCCGCGGGGGGCCCGCGCGGCCGCCCATCGCGCGCGGCGGCTGCAGGGGCGAGCGCCCCCGACTGTCTGCTGCTGGGGTTGGCGGAGCGTGGCGCGCGATTCATCGAGTTTTCCAGCGTTGACCTTGCGATCGCTCTTGCGGCAATCCCTGGGGGCCCGAGTCAGCTCGAGCCGGCTCCGCGGGGCGGCGCCGCCGCGGGGCTGATGCGCGCGCGCTGGCGCGCGACCGAGGCGGCGGATCACCCCAAGAGAGACGCGCGCGCCGCGGGCGCGGGCATTCCAGGGCTTCCTGGAGAAGCGGGCCCTGGACATCCAGGAAGTCGGCGGTCGGGCGGCAGCCGGGCCCCGCGGGCTTCGCCGCGGCCTTGCGGGCGCCGCTGGAGGAGATGACTCAGGGCAAAATTAAGCGGCGCGGGGGCGCCGAGTGCGTCGGCGGGCCGAGGGCGCGCGCGGCGTCGCTGGCTGCGCTGCCGGGCCGGGCCGCGGCCGGGGGCGCGATGGGGCGGGCGGTGGGCGAGGCGTCGGGCGCGAACCTTGCCGCCGAGGCGCCCGCGGGCCGTCTCTGATCGCCCTGCGACGCTACTGGGGCGGCCCGCGACGGCGGCGCCGGCCGCGCCGCCTCGCCCGTCGACGCTTGGACCAGTTAGCGGGCGATCCGGGCTCCGACGCGCCGCAGTGGGTCGCCGGGCGCGCTCCTATCGGCGCATGCGCGGGCGCATTTCCCAGAGGCGCCCGAGTCGGAGGCTGCGCGCGCGCCCCAAGGGTTCCACGAGAGGAACCTCAAGCAGGGCCAGGACCACGCCGCCCACGAGAGCTTCGAGGACCGCCGCGCGGCAGGAACGACGGCGCGTGATGCGGGGGGACTTCCCGAGAGATTGAGGGCCGCGGTAGGCCGAGGTTGCGGCCAGATGGCCGGGCGCGAATCGCGCGAGGTCGGCGCGTCGGCGGGGCGATGGTCGACGGGGGCGCCGAGAGGAAGAAGGCGCCCTTGATCGTCGACGCGCGCCGCTCGAGCGCGTCGTTCTGCCGAGGCCGGGCGACGCGGCGCGGGGCCTCCTCGGCTTGCTCAGCCGCGGCGCTTCGCTAGAAGGCGACGCGGTCGGCGTCGAGCTCTTCGTCGCGGACTTCGCAAGCAGGCGCCTTCCTCGCCCGGGGGGGTCTGGAGTCGGAGGGAGACGTCGCCGTGGCCACGAGCGCTATTGCGCGCGCCGCGGGGCCCCGTTCGGATTGGGCGCCGCTGTCGCCATCTGTGCGACTCAGAAGAACGGGGTCGTCTGCGCCGAGAATCGCGCGCGCGCTCGCTTCGAACGCGGCGCGCCGCGCGGGCGGCAAGCGCAAGCCGCCGCGCGGGGATATCGTCGCGCATCTGGGGCCGCGCGGCAGCGGCGCCCCTGGATTCGCCAGCCAGCATGGCCACCGGCGCGGGCGACCGCGTCATTGCCGCAGCTGGCTGGGCGGGGAGCCGCGCGCGGATTTCCGCTCGCGCCCCCGGCCTTTGCGCCGCGCAGCTCGGGCGGCGCGGCGTCGATTCCGCCGTCGGCGCGGGCCCGGCTAAGGCCGGCGTCGCGCGGGGGCGCGCGGATGACATCCGGCGCGAGGTCGCGACGCCAATTCGGCCCGCGCCTTAGTCCCTGGCCGGCCGGCCGTCGCGGATCGCAGCGATCGCGCCTCGCTTGCGCCCGGGCGGCAGCCGCTGCAGCGGCGGCGACTGGCCGCGGCGCCGCTCCAGTGGATCGACGCCCAGCTGCGGACTGGCGCGGCCCCGCGCCTACCATGTAAATCCATCTATGCTTATTTAGTGCAGCTGTTTATTTAGTCGTCGGCCTTAATGTTGCCATCCTTAAAATTTAGCGTCGGCGCTAAATTTTAGCGACAATCAGCGTCGACGCATGCTCAAACACGGTGTAACATTCGAAAAAGGAGGCGTGACCTCCTGAAGAGGGCGCGCGCGCCCTGGTGGAGCAGGAGGCGCCGCTCCTCCGCAGCGCTGTGGCGCGTGCACTTTTTCTGTCCGCGCGCGCGGCTGTCACGCGAGCCGCGCCATCGGCTGCGCGCGGTGGCGCGCGATCACCGCTCGGGAGAAGCCCGTCGCTGAGGGCGGGGAGCCGCGCCTCTTCGCCATGTGGCCCACGCCGCCCCCGAAGTCCTCGCCCCTGCAGGTCCAGCACGGCGACGGCTGCCCTCCCGCGAAGGCCATCTCGAGGAGCAGGTGCGCCTTCGGCTTGACGCGCCAACTCCTCGGCTGCAGCGCAGCAAGAGAGGCAAACAAGGTCGCGAACCTGCTGGCGGAGTCGCGCATCAGATCCTCTCTGAAGATGCACTGGCCGCTCAACGTGTGGTAGCAGGAGTGCAAGTGGCGCATGGCGTTCAGCGCGGCGTCGTCCACGGCACTCCCAGAAACGCAATGCGTCTCGGCCGCTTCCTTGCAGAATGGGATCAGATGCCTCAGGATGGCGGCCTGGCCGCGGAACTTCGGGTGCGCTTTCTTGGGCTTCACCGTGCGCTCGTTGAAGTCGTGGAGGCGGTCGGGCGTCGAGTGCGCGTCGTAGTGCGCCTGGATGGGCCCCCACATCAAGTCGCTCTGCGCGCGGCGGCGCCCTGGGAGCCTCCTCATGATGTGCCAGAGCAAGGCCCCCACGAAATCCGCCCCGACCCCTTGGTCCACGGCGCGCAACCAGTCGACCTTGAACACGTCGGTCGCGATGCCAGGGGCACTCAGCGCAGGCGAGACGCGGCCTGCGTTGCGCAGGATGATGGCGATCACGCCCTGCAGCGAGCGCCTGCTCGTTGGCCTCGTCCACCGAGGACTCGTCGACGTCTGCGTCGTCACCTGGGGGTCGCGCAAAGGAGAGCGGGGAGGGACCAGGGAACGCGGAAACAAAGCCAGGTGTAACCAAGAAATCCTCCTCCTGCTCCTCCTCCTCCTCCTCCTCCTCCTCCTCCCCCTCCCCCCCCTCCTCCTCTTCTTCCTCCTCCTCCCCCCCCCTCCTCCGCGTTTGCGCGGGGCCAGTCGCCCCCCCGGGAGAATGTTGCACTTCCAGCAGCACCTGGAGCCCTCGTTCCAGGCGGGGAAAGAAAACACTTCTTTCCACGCTTTCCAACCCGCGCGAAACTGCACCAGGGCGCCGCGGGCTGGCAAGGGGGGGCCCTCGAGGGTCTTGCGGTCGGCCCACGCTCGTTAAGCTTTATCCGAGGGGCGCGAGAACGGCGTCTTGTCGCGCCGCTCTCGCGGGCAGAAGCCTCTCCACAAAGACAGAACACTCCATTGTATGATGCCGGAGATGTCGTGCCAGGTGTTCGCGGACAAGTGGCTTTTCAAAATGCTGAACAATAGGATTCTCAAGTTGCCGTCGGGTCCGTCGGGGTCAAGGCCAGGCAAGTCCATGCTGGGGACTTCGACCGACGCAGATCTGTCCCACTTGGCGGGGGCCCCGTCCTGCCACGGGCCGATGGCCGCCGCGGGGCTGCCCAGCTTCGCCCCCGCGCCCTGCACGTGCGCGCAGTCGCCCTCGTCCAGCCCCTGCTTCTGCAGCAGCACGCGCAGGTCGCCGTGCCTGCCCAGCGCCAGGAGGACCTCGCGCGGTAGCGACAGGGACATTTCTTTTGTCTCTTCTCGATGACGCTCGGCGGTCCACACGCGGACCTTTGCCGCGTACTCCTTCGGCCGCGCTCCCTTGAGAAATCCCCGCCTTACCCTGGGGCTCGTTATCGCTTCTTGTTTAAACAACTTTAGTTTTCACTTTTCAAAGCAATCCTTCTTCAACGGAAACAAGCGCTTTTCATTCATATGTGTATGCAAAAATACTAGGATGTGCACCGGATGGTGATGAATATATTGCATGGCCCGCAGGTATCTAACACTCGATCGATATATGTATGTATATATATATGTGTATATATATATATCTAAATAAGCTAGCCACTAGTATGCTAACGGGATCGGGGAATCATTTTTCCTCGCTGCTGCGTGCTTCCCGCTTCCGCTGCCTGGCCTGCTCGAGCGGCCCAGAGAACGCCGCCGAAGAAGGGGCCCAGATTCTCCAACGCC